TGAGCTCTAGTTTTGGTGGAGAGTGTATTAATTAGCCCGTGATAACCATAGGCTACACCATATTTAATTTCACAAAATTTTAGCCATCAGCACTCCTTGAATGTACACAGTGCTTATTGCTTTGGCTTTGCTCCAAAATTTTGAGTATTTTATTCTGGGATTTTTCTACTACAGCTGGACAGAACTTTCATATGTGTATAAAATCCTGCTCTCTATGGAACCCCTTCAACTTGCTGAATCAAATGATCTATGTAGCAAAGTAGATTTCATGGAAGCATAGAAGACGAAGAAAAGATGACATAGTGAAAAAAGGTACAGACTTGCAATGTAGCTCTAGAATTTTTGGCCAGGTTAATATTCAAAACAAAACAAAACATTTTAATTTCCAAAAAACAAAACAAAAACCTGGGTACCTTTATGTCAATTCAAAGGTATTATGTGATATATCATTTTTCTTTTCATTAATGGGTAATAATGTCTATAGTATTTTAGAATTTCACTATGTAAACACTAGATTTTTAAAACTCTATGTCTTTAAAATTATATAAAATATATACTTTCAATATAAAAATTAATCTATTTGCTTGTTACATATTTTAAAACAACATTTTGAATTATACACACTTAAGTTGCAACAATCACATTTAAATTTTATTCACTTAACTTGTTATATTCAGTATAAAAGTCATTATTTTGGGGAAAAAAGTTCATATCAAGGACCAATTTTTTAAGTTTTTTAAAACTTACATGTTTTTAAACAAGTTTTCAGGATTAAGTTATAACTTAGAACCACCTCCAAAAACCCAGCATCTTTGTTTGCAAATAATTTCATTTGTATTCCTCCATATTATTGGTTATTATCTTTAAATAATGAATAATCAATTTATTAAATTAATTTTGTCTTTATTTCATTTTTCTGTTTTTCACCAAGGATACTGACTTGAATTAAATCCACAGTATTGTGTGCGTTTAAAAACTAACAAACCAAAACCCTCCAACTATTCTTTGTTGGTATGTAGGGATGTTATTCCCTAATGAAATTTCTACATTTTAATAAATACTTTTTCAAAGTAACCATCTGCATGCTACATTGAACAATTTATAATGCCTCCCCACAACAATGAATCAAGTCACGGGGGATAATGTGTGTCTTGACAGAGCATCACCCTTAATAGAACATCATACAAAGAAGTCAATAAGTGTTTATGGCTGGAAGTAAGGGAAATATAGAATCAAAAAGAACTGGGGAAATAATTATACAGCTAAGTACATTTAACAATGAAAGGTAAAACGCTAGAACATATTTATTTAATAGACTATATTAGAGGAAGATCCCCAAATTATTCACCTCTGTTTTAAATAGACCCTAGCAAAATGCTTTGAAGTAAATAACTATTTGATTAATATATCCATTAAATTATGGGATAAACAATATAAAATTAACATTTTCAAGGCCTATTTTTATGTTTACCAAATCTCTTTTTGGAGTGAGCAATTAAACTGGGAAAGCAATTTGTGTTCCAAGCTATTGCAGGAGTAGTAGGGCTAGTAATTACTGAAAAGCAGGAAAGGGTGGAAAAAAAATGGAAAGAAAAGAAAAACCACAAAGCAAACTCTTATAAAACAGCGTAAAGACAAAATACATTTGTTTTTGCAGAACTTAGACTTTATTTTATGACTTTATATTTATATTTAGATTATTTGCATTATTATAATGTTTGATCATCTTGGAATGTATGCTTATTAAGAATGTTTTGTGTCCAGGAATTTATCAATTTCTTCTAGATTTTCTTGTTTATTTATGTAGAAGTGTATATAGCATTCTCTGATGGTAGTCTGTATTTCTGTGGGATAAGTGGTTTTATCCCCTTTATCATTTTTTTGTTGTGTCTATTTGATTCTTCTCTCTTCTTTATTAGTCTGGCTACTGGTATAAAGACTAAACCAGGAAGAAGTAGAATTCCTGAATAGACCAATAACAAGTTCTGAAACTGAGGCAGTAATTAATAGCCTGCCAATAACAACAAAAAAAGTCCAGGACCAGATAAATTCACAGAGGAATTCTACCAGAGGTACAAAGAAGAGCTAGTACCATTGCTTCTAAAACTATTCCAAACAATAGAAAAAGAGGGACTCCTTCCTAACTCATTTTATGAGGCCAACAGCAACCTGATATGAAAACCTGGCAGAGACACAACAGAAAAAGACAATTTCGGGTCAACATCGATGAAAAATTTCTCAATAAAATACTAGCAAACCAAATACAGCAGCAGATCAAAAAGCTTATGCAACATGATTATGTCAGCTTCGTCCCTGGGATGCAAGCCTGGTTCAGCATATGTAAATCAATAAACGTAATCCATCACACACACAGAACCAATGACAAAAACTGCATGATTATCTCAATAGATGCAGAAAAGGCCTTCCATAAATTTCAACACAACTTCATGCTGAACACTACATAAACAAGGTATTGATGGTAATTGACAAATTTCAAAATAATAAGAGCTATTTATGGCAAACTCACAGCCAATATCATACTGAATGGGCAAAAGCTGGAAGCACTCCCTTTGGCACAAGACAAGGATGCCCTCTCTCACCACTCCTGTTCAACATAATATTGGAAATTCTGTCCAGGGCAATCAGGCAAGAAAAAGAAATAAAGCATGTTCAAATAAGAAGAGAGGAAGTCAAATTGTCTCTGTTTGCAGATAATGTGATTCCATATTTAGAAAACCCCATTGTCTCAGCCCAAAATCTCCTTAAGATGATAAGCAACATCAGCAAAGTCTCTGGATACAAAACCAATGTGCAAAATCACAAGCATTCCTATACACCAATAATAGGCAAACGAAAAGCCAAACCATGAGTGAACGCCCATTCACAATTGCTACAAAGAGAATAAAATACCTAAGAAGACAACTTACAAGGGATGTGAAGGACCTCTTCAGGGAGAACTACACACTACTGCTCAAGGAAGTAAGAGAGGACACAACCAAATAGAAAAGCATTCCACGATCATGGAAAGGAAGAATCAATATCATGAAAGTGGCCATACTGCCCAAAGTAATTTATAGATTCAATGTTATCCCCATCAAGGTACCATTGACTTTCTTTTCAGAATTAGAAAAAGCTACTTTAAACTTTATGTGGAACCAAAAATAGAGCCTGTATAGCCCAGATAATTCTAAGCAAAAAGAACAAATCTAGAGGCATCACACTATCTGACTTCAAACTATACTGTAAGACTATAGTAACCAAAACAGATATATAGACCAATGGAACAGAACAGAGCCCTCAGAAATAATGCCATACATCTACAATCATCTGATCCTTGCAAAACCTGAGAAAAACAAGCAATGGGGAAAGGATTCCCTATTCAATAAATTGTTCTGGGAAAACTGGCTAGCCATGTGCAGAAAACTGAAACTGGACCATTTCCTAACATTTATAAAAATTAACTCAAGATGGATTAAATATTTAAACATAAGACCTAAAATCATAAAAACTCTAGATAAAAACACAGGCATTACTATTCAGGACATAGGTATGGGCAAAGACTTCATGACTAAAATACCAAAGCAATGACGACAGAAGCCAAAATTGACAAAGGAGATCTAATTAAACTAAAGAGCTTCTGTACAACAAAAGAAACTATCATTAGAGAGAATAGCAACCTAAATAATGGGACAACATTTTTGCAATCTATTCATCTGACAAAGGACTAATATTCAGAATCAATAAGGAACTTAAACAAATTTGCAAGAAAAAAAAAAACTATCAAAAAGTGGGCGAAGTATATGACCGGACATCTATCAAAATAAGGCATTTATGCAGCCCAGAAACATTTGAAAGAAAGCTCATCATCACTGGTCATTAAAGAAATGCAAATGAAAGCCACAATAAGATACTATATCATGTCAGTTAAATGGCAGTCATTAAAAAGTTGGGAAACAACAGGAGCTGGAGAGGATTTAGACAAATAGAAACACTTTTACATTGTTGGTGGGAGGGAAAATTAGTTCAATAATTATGGAGGTTATATGTATACGTAATATTTTACATGGACTATGAAAATTCCTCAAGGACCTAGAACCAGAAATATCATTTTACCCATCAAACCCATTACTGGGTATATAATTGAAGGATTACAAGTCATTCTCCTATAAAGACACATGCACACATACGCTTATTTCAGCACCATTCATCATAGAAAAGACTTGGAACCAACCCACATGCCCATTAATGGTAGACTGAATAAAGAATATATAGCACATACACATCACGGAATAGTATGCAGCCATAAAAAAGGATGAGTTAATGTCCTTTTCAGGGACATGTATGAAGCTGGAAACCATTATTTCTAGCAAACTGACACAGAAACAGAAAACCAAATGCTGCTTGTTCTCACTCATAAGTGGGGGTTGAACAATGAGAACAGATGGACACAGGGAGGGGAACATGACACACTGGGGTTTCTTGGGGGTTAGGGGGCTTGGGGAGAGATAGTATTAGGAGAAATAGCTAATGTAGATGACAGGTTGATGGATGCAGCAAGCCACCATGGCACGTCTATATTTATGTAATAAATCTGCATGTTGTGTGCATGTATCCCAGAAATTAAAATATAATAATAAAAAAAGAGAATGTTTTGACTCTTTTGTTAAGAATATTGTTCTCCCAATTGTCCGGTAGACAATAAAACCAGGTCATACTTAACACCTACTTATACTTGGCAGCTGTGTGTCTCTTTTCCTTAGTTTTCTCATTTTCTCACAGTATTTTTGTGAGCTAAAAATGACTTAGGTAATGTAGATAACTTAATGAACTATGAATATTGTCATTGAATAAACTCTGTAAACGTTAGTTGATAATGTGAAAATTGTAATTAAAGAGACTTGTTAAAAATCACAGACACAAATTTGGGCTCTAGTATGAGCTCCACATTTCTAGCACATTACCTTCTTCACCAAGATACATAAACTTCTTATTTCCTGATTTTTTTTTATTATCAGTAAAGCAGGCTGATAGAATCTGTCATCTGCCTCACAGTCACTTGAAAAAAATCCTAGTATAAGTTTTGTAATAGCTTAATTTTATCATATCTTAGTGGAACATAGAGGAACACAGAACCACTTTCTGAAGTACCAGGGAGCAAAGATAGCATGAAATTCTTTAAGGACTTGATTGGAAGCACATACTGGAAAGCAAGAAGGTAACATTTGTTTTTAATAGATTCTGTTCAATTGTGTTTTTCTGATGATTGATTTCTGCTTTCTTGTCATCTCCCTGCCTTTTTCTGTTATCATAATTCATTGAGTGAGTGGAATTTTCTCTCTTGGCCTCATGGTATTTTTGATAAAAATTTTATTCAGTTTTATTAGTGCTTTCATTCCCTTATGCAATTCATATTTCAAGGAAAAGTAGGTGACAGAATCTTTCGTATAATCAATAATCTCATATTTCAATATAAAGAAACTGAAGTTGCATTTTGTGTATGAGCTGCCTTTCAAATGTTCACATTGTTTTTATTTTAAGGTGGAACCAGTATTCTATCCAGAATCTAAACTCACTGCTTATCAGCTCTGTATTGAGTATGGGTTGTATATACATTTATTTGTATTTCATTAATAAAGAACCACGATAAGTCTATGAAATTTGTGTTTTCTTAGTTATTTTGTTAAATGTATATAATTACCTCTGAAAATATTCTTGAGAAAATTAGTAAATCTTTTTCTTTGGAATTTTTGATTAAATATTTTATGTACTGGATATAAGTAGAAACTTCAATGAAAAGCACAAATCGGATTATTTTGATTATCACTATGACTACTATGTTTTCAATGTATTTATTTTTAAGTCACAATACTAAAAAATTATTTGAGACTTAGCTGCTCTGATTACACATACCTCATAGTTTTATTTCTTGCTTTTCTTTTCTTAAAATTTGAGGATAAAGAAGCAGGCAATACTCACAACAGTCCTCAATAATATTAATTCTGCTAGCATCTGTGACACAAATACATTGTAAATAAATTTAACCTCTACTGTAAGTTTTACTTGATATTAGGTCCAGTTGACACCTAGAAGCCTGTCACAGAGACCACATACACAGCAAGTCAGTTCTCTTTATTCTTTGCTTTTGAACTGCAAGTTGGTAGGGGGTGCTCCTTAACGTTTTTCTTTGCAAACATTTATTCTTTGCTTTAACCCACCACTACCATGAGCACCAACACTCAATGATTCACCAAAACTTGGGCAAATAATGATTTTCCTTGTTTTTAATTAACATTTCTTAAATATATGTATGTCTCACATTGATTGTAATGTTTAATAATGGAAGTGTTTTGGGTCTTACTTTAGAAATTTGCTCATGTTTTTGTGACCAAAAATATGCACAGGAATTTAATTCTTGTTTATATCAACCTGTAGTAAAATTGTTTTTCCTTATATGTAATCTCTTAAAGATGCAGTTTTCAAGAACCTATCAATAACATTAAGTGAAGACTTGCTGTATTTGTGTCTGTGCTTGTATGCTTTTGCCTGTATAAATGGGGTATAAGGGAAAACACAAGACCTCATTATAGTCGTTAAAACTGGATCTTCTGTTATTTTTCCATAATATTTTTCAGCAAATAACAAAATGTTTCTTAGTTTTAAGTCAATCTAATTAATGTATTTAAACTAAATTAGAATATCTATTATATTGGAAAAAAAATATTGACCTTGTTTTCCATTCTCGATTGTAAAGCTTTAAGTAAAATAGGTAACTTTTATTTTTTGACATGGCTTTCCACATGCCAAAAGTGATACTGAAGATAGTATTAGAATAGTAACGTTATATAACAAAAATTTACTTGGGAAAATGTATTGTAATGGAATATTTGTTTTTCTAAGAGAAATAAGAGGCTCTGAAATTAGAACTACAGAGTAATTCCATTTTCTTCTTTCTTTATAGCATAAATTAATTATGCTTTTATTAAAACTATCTTAAACAGTTCATTTCTATATATTTATGTCCAGTTAATGAGTAGAAATGAGATTTTCATTTTGAGTTAGAGCTCTGACATTTTATACAATTCACTTGATTCTTCTAAGGATAAACTTATTTATAAAATAAAAGTGATTTTTTTCTAACATTATATTTTAAGGGATTAATTCATTTAATTAATATTGGCTAAAATATTTCCCATATATCATAAAATAACACTATAATCAGATGAATAATATAGCATATATTTTCCATTACTATATTTATTTGTGAAATCATTAATAAATGACTGAGATGTAATGAAAAAAATTAGTTTGTCATTGTATTTTGGTATTTTCTAGATCTAATGAATTTAGTGGTGTGTATAAGTTTCTAAAATCTCTGTGTTTCCATTTATCTGCCTACATAATGGGAGTAGAATTTACTTTTTGTCTTCTATCCTGAATTATGTATGATGAAACATTAAAAGACATTAGGCTACTGTTGGCACATATTAAATATTGAATCACGTTAATAACAATACTGGTTGTTAATGGTGCTGTTATACTGCTATCCCTTCTCTTTTTTCGACAAAAATGTGCTCTAGACTGGATATAACTGAATTTAATTCATTAAACTGAATTAGTTCAGCATTATGATTACAGTATGTCACAGTTTCTCTTGGTCTCTGTGTTTCCCTGTGATAAAATTGCCAAACATTATCTTACTCAGAATATTGTGAGAAAGTGCTTAGCATGGTGACCTGAAATGCTGAAGCACAAACATAGAAACTCACACATGTCAGATGTTTATTTTTTTATCTTTTAGGGATCTAGTGGTCCAAGATTAGAGGACAAATCTCCTGTTTTTAAGGCTCTTGTATTCTAAGATGGTTGAATGAGGGTTTGTTGGGGGCAGAAATTTTACACACATACCCACACGCTGACAGCCCCCCACACACAGTGTACAAGAATTGATGCATATTGTCTTAAGGCATACTGTCACAAAGTTAGGAGTTATTTTCTACTTTTGGCATGATTCTGAGTAAAAATTCTCTAATTCTCCTGCTGCATCTTTCTTTGCATCATCTGATTACTTATAAGTGTGTGTATAACTCAAATTGCAGTTAATTGGCTGTGCACAGCTGCTGTGCTTAAGGAAAGACAGAGTTTGTTGTCATACATACCTAGAAAGCTTGAATGAGATAAGAATTTAGTGCCCCACCTTATAACTTCCTCATTTCTTAATTAAAAACACATTTTACTTTTTTGATTAGCCTTACTTCTAAGAGATGTAAGGCTCTCAGAAGAGAGATGGTCACTTAACTTCAACCATGCTTCACATTATCCTCTCTCCACAGGGTACTGTGATACTCATCTTATTTTAAAACTGAAAAATATTTCATTGCATGGATGTACCACAGTACATCCACGATAAAAGAGAATATGTGTTTCAGAAGAAAGGATCTCTTTTGTTCCATACGGAGCAAGTGAGAGGGTTGGTTCCAGATCAGGTGGACAAAGGGCAAACAGAGCTATATCTGAGATTAAAAGAGAGACAATTAAAGTGTTTTAGTAAATGGATATTATCTCACATGCTCTATTTTATTTCTAAATTCTAACTGTATTTATTCCATCTTTTCATTTTACCTTTATTACTTTGTTTGAACTATGTCTGTTATATGTTTGCTTGTTTTTTGTCAAGAGAATAGTTTTTTGTTCATTAAGATTTTTTTCTGCTTTGTATATAAAGTATTTCAAAATTTTAGTTTTCTATATTCCCTGATTCTATTTTATCATATATTATTTCTCCTTGTTTCATTGTTAATATTTGGATTAATTTCATTTAATTCTTCTTTTATAATTAAAGGATTTAAGGAAAGACATTATTTTATTAGAATGTTGGGCTAATTTACTTTCCTGCTAAAGTTAGTATCATTTTAGTATTAATTTTAATGCATTTACTTTGCTTTGGTATGTTCCCAATGTTTGAGTATGCCCATATGGTCCAGTGACTGTGCATCTAGGTCACAAAATAATTTATATCTTTGGAAGTTTTTGAGTTTTATATTTGATTTATTAATGGTGATTTTTAAAAATATCAATTGATAACCAAAAGATGTTTTGTTCTAAGGGTAAAATATATCTATGAATTTAACCTTACTAAATGACCTTATATGTTTCTTTCCAATTAACATTTCACAGGTTGATAGATCTATTTTGAAATCTCATAAAAACATTTTTTTCTTTACTGTATTTTTGGTCCATTTATCAGTAATATTACATAAGTTTTGAAACTGTTATTGTTTGTAAAAATATTGTTTTATATTTTAAACCAAAATGATTTATTGTTCTCTGATTATCACTTGCTTGCTTTATTTTACATATTATTATCTGATATGGTTAGGTTTTGTGTCCCCACACAAATCTCATCATGAATTGTAATCTCCAGGTGTTGAGAGAGACATCTGGTAGGAAGTGATTCGATCATGGAGGCAATTTCCCCAATCCTGTTTTTGTGATAGTGAGTGAGTTTTCATGAGATCTGATGGTTTTATAAGGTATTCTGTAAGACATGTCTGCTTTCCTTTCTCAATGATTGTAGTTTTCCTGAGACCTCACTGGCCGTAGGGAACTAAGTCAGTTAGCCTCATTTGTGGCCTGCCGTGGTGGCTCACAACTGTAATCCCAGAACTGTGGGAGGCTGAGGCTGGTGAATCATGACGTCAGGAGTTTGAGACCAGCTTGACCAACATGGTGAAACCCTTTCTCTACCAAAACTTTAAAAATTAGCCAGGTGTGTTGACATGTGCCTGTAATCTCAGCTACTCAGAAGGCTGAGACAGGAGAATCGCTTGAATCCAAGAAATTGAGGTTGCAGTCAGCTGAGATCACACCATTGCACCCCAGCCTGGGCAACAGAGCAAGACTTCGTCAAAAAATAAAAATAAAAAACCTCCTTTCTTTATAAATTACCCAGTCTCTGGTAATATCTTTATAGCAGTGTGAGCATGGATGCAGAATAATACATTATCCCAATTAATCCTATTGTTTGCCTAATTTTTTATACTTCATGTCATTTAAAATAAATTATTAAAATCACAACACATGGTATTTATTTATTTTTTACTTTTTGTGGGTATATGTTAGGTATATACATTTACAGGGTACATGAGATATTTTGATAGAGGTATGCAATGTGAAATAAGCACATCATGTGGAAAATGTATCCATCCCCTCAAACAT